AAAAAAGAAAAGAAAAGAAAAGAAAAGAACGGAGTAAGACACACGTGCTCTGAATAGACGGTGTATATGGTGCCACGCAAGACTAGCGGATCTTGGAAACGATGGCCCCCGCGTAAATTGCAGACACACGCAACTTGGAAACGTAAGAAGAAAGACTACTGATAAGACCACTCGCTAAGGATTGCTATTCTTGTCCTGGCAGCGTACACACGTATATATACATACAGGCATATGTGTATATATAAACGATATACAATTACTGTAAGGCATATAAGAGATATAATTTATATAGCTGTATTCTACGTCGTCAGTACATGTAGGACAGGCTTGCGAGTGTTCACATGTGATCGTCTCAGCCGGCGTGAGAGTGCTTTAAAATCTAGAGACTGCGTGAGTGAGAGAGATACAATATATATATAAAATATATATATATATATATATATATAAATATTTAAAAAAAAAAAAAAGAAAAAAGTATATATAATAAATAGATAGATACAGAAAGAGGGAGAGAGAGAAAGAGAGAGAGAAATACACTAATACCTTGTAGTTCGACGTTACATATCTTTGCAACTCATTCGTTAGAGGGCAGAAAAATTTTTCTCTGTTGATGGATTCTCAGCGACGCCTCGAGCGAGCTACAAATGCGTGTTTAATCTGTTTAATCCAACAATCGCAAGACCAATTCGCGCGATTCGAACAATCCGATCTTCAGGAAGAAAAAAAAAAAAAAGAAAAAGAAAGGCGCCGCTGGTCGACTGTGCGCTGATCGATCATCATCGCGCGAGCACGCCGTGTGAATCTGGCGCACAGACGACCCCGAAAGACCTGGCCCAAAAGTCAGTCTACATATCAAACACTGTGTAGTTAGCATCGGGTCCCCTTCTCAACATACCAATGGTTTTTATCTCGAACAATCACGAGCGTGTACTTCTGGTGTATATTCTTTCCGATTCGCGGCTCTGCCTTCGGCTCGTCACGAACGAAAGAGCAAACGAGCCGGTGAATCGAGCCCATTCATCGAACTTCACGCATCCATCGATCTCTCCCCACCACGTGCTCACACCTTCACCCGTGGCGATTCTTTCGAGTCGAGCGTGTTATTAGTCGTCGATTATCGATCCTCCCCACGAGTCGGGGATCTTTCCTCCTTCCCGCGAGAGAGAAAAGAAAAAAAGGAAACAAGCTGCATCCTAGATCGTAGAAAAAGAAACTCGTATCGTCACAGTTGCTGCTACTCTATTTACCAAATGCTAACCTAACTGTAACCGGCATTAATACCGCTATTGTATCGCCCTCCCTTCCCACTCCCAGCTGTTCCGCGATCGAAATCGTTGATCGTCTCATTTCGTTTGAACGCGCGAGCCTTGCGTGAAAAAACAAATCTCGAGTAACGAGCAGGAGTCAACGAGAGAGGCTAGACTCGTTCGAAAAAAAGGGCATACGTAATGATCGTCGTCGCGTGTCATCCCCCTCACCTTCGTTTTCTCTGCGGTTTTCTCTTCTCCCGATTCTTGATCATCTCGTGCACGTCCACGTCCTTCGATCATCGCGCGTTTGAGAGAAAATTGTAGTCGCGCTTCCAAACTACGGTTTTTTTTTTTTTTTTTGGTTTTTAACAAGGTAAACCTTTTTTTTTTTTTTTTTCTTTTTTCTTTCTTTGGTATATTGGCTCGACGCTCGGCTCGTTCGAGAACGGGCTGGTTGTTTCGAGGCGGGTTGAACGATTGACGAGTTTTTCGTGATTTTGACATATCAATTTGATTAGCAATCGATAATATAGTAGCTAATAATTAACTCTCGAGGAATTGAAAAAAAATTATAATTTTATAAGAAGAGTGACAATACATTATACACAATAGAATGATAATAAAACGATTGTACAACTTTATGTACAAACGTGAGGTAGCAGAATAAGTGCTCAAATTGGCGTCTAGAGTTACCAACGATAGAGTTTTTAAAAGGGAGGAAAAAAAAAAAAAAACGTAGCGTTTAAAGTTTTATAGGGGGGGTATTTCGAAAGGCAGTAGCGTAGAATTATTGTCGTGGCTTCATTTTCAAGTCTAGTTAAAAGAAGAGAGAGAGAGAGAGAGAGAGAGAGAGAAAGAGAAAGAAAGAGAGAGAGAGAGAGAGAGAGAGAGATAATCAATAATCGTAAAATCTCGAAAAATAAATATTCACATCTCGTGATATCAATTGCAACACGTCTTCGAAACAACCGTGTCCTCCGTTCGATTATTTCTTAATTATTTTCCATTGTTTGTCCAATGTTATAAATATTATTATAGTATTTGCATGGTATCTGCAACTTTCTCTCGGCCCTGCCTTCATTTCGATATCCACTCATCGTCGAACCTCCCAAGAATCGAAAGCTGTTCTGTAGAAGTCGTGAAAATTGTATTGTGATAACCGTAAGACATGCAACTGGTGGAAGATAATTCAGAACAGACGGAATTCAGGAAGCAAGCTCCTCGAAATGTCGATCGTTAAATATATGTATATATGTACATATACATATATATATATATATTTCTTGATCAGTCTTGTTTCGTTGATACGATTACGTATACTCTTCCACCTTACGAACTGAACTCAGAAGCAATGCTCTCTCATAGCAATCTGTGTTGTTACTTATTAGTGTCATGATTTTACGTAAAATACAGTGCGTTTTTACGTAAATTATACGTTGTTGATTAGTTGCTACACGTAGAACGAACGAACATTCATCGTGCGACTTCCGTGAGTTATTCTTAATCTTTCCGCTACAATGCTTTATTTCCATACCAGCCCAATAGGGATTTGTGTTAAATACGTATCCCGTTTAAAGAATTTCATTTACAAGGAGAGATTTCTTCATCTTTTTAATGACAATGCATTTTTAAAAAACGACCAGTTGAGACCAGTTTTTGCACAAATATGCACGAGGACCGCGATAACAATCGTCTGTAGTAGCGAAAAGGTTAAGCGTTTCACGTTGTGCGACGTAAAGAAAGCAGACCGTACATTGGAAAGAATGTATAGCTACAAAGGCACATTAATTTTTCACGATGATTTTCGTTCTGTTGTTTTACATTTTCTTCGTTTCTTCCTTTCTCGTTCCCCCCCCCCCTAGCCCCCCCCTCAAAAAGCCTCAGTTGCTCAAAAACTCCCTCTCCACCACTATGGAGAATGTTTCTTGCTGACTATAAACGATCCTGTCACACGTAATGAGTAATTTTCGTTTCACCTCGGCGAAAACGGTGTATCATCTGATTTTCCTGCGGGGGATAGAAACCACGCGAACATTGTACGTGAATTTTCAGTGCTGTTTTTGTTTTTTTTTTCATTACACCAGACAGTACGAAAAGCAGCACGACGACGGTTTCTCCCCGCGTAGAATGGGAGAACCTCATGTATTTTGCGTTACCGTTCTTGATCTTCACACTGTTCGGTCATGTGAGCGAATCTGTACATATATATAAAAACGTGCGCACGCAAACTGTAATTTATCATCAGTGTTAACAAAAAGAAAAAAATGAAAAAAAAAGAAAAAAAAAAAAGAAACTCGAGTGTCAACTAGGACTGCCGAGCGATGAATTACTCGTTCTGACAGATATACTTACGGAATATGTAATACACGTATTATAACGTATACATATAATATGTATATTATGTATCGTATACAGGGATATATAGCCCGCACAGTTAACCACGACCAAAAAGTGCCGAAACATTGGCGAGAAATCGAGAACGAACGGGGAAAAGAGAAACAAAAAAAAAGAAAAAAAAAAAAGGAAAAAAGTAAGCAAAAGAGAGAACTAATCTATATATTATTCTGGATCGTATACGCACGATCGATAACGTCGAATTCACGATCACGCGTACGCGATGCATGAACATACATACATACATACATACACATACACACACACGCGCGTATGAACGCGCATACAGAATGCATGCATACGTATACAGAGGGAGAAAAAAAGAAAAAAAGTGAAGAAAGAAAACACGACAGGTTTTTTCGTATCACGTACAGCAGCAGCTGCACCTCTTTTTTGATTCTCACACACGCACTTCACACGATTCTCGAATCAAACGTTCTTTTTTAGCGGTCAGAGAGAGGGATCGCGGATTTACCATCATTCGAATAGAGATTTAATGTTTGTAAGGGCAATAACGATTGTAAATTTTTCGAGTACACTGTATTTGAATGTGTAAGTTGCATAAAAAAGACAGATTTTTTAGATATTGCACTATAATATTTATTATTCTAAGGTAACGAGAGACAGGGTCGCGATTCGCCGCGCTCGCGATACCTCGACTCCCCCCTTCCCACCCACCCACCTTTCGAAATTCACCCGTTTTCAACCCTTGGTGGCCTCGATCGCATCGAGAATCCGATGCCCACCCCACCCCCCCGTTGGGATCAACAGCGACGAACTATCGATCGCCTCCGCGATAATTTAGTTTGCAACAAACCCGCCGCGCGCGAAAAAATTGTGTGTTCCGCGCGGTGGCGATGTAATTTTTCTCTCTTCAGTCGCGATCGACGCCGGAGTCGCAAGCGCGGTTACTTCGCGACGATCATGAATTAATATTAATTAATAAAGAGGCAAAGCGTATGCGTTGTTCTTTCCAATAAAAAGAGAAAGCAAGATTTTTAGTGTTTACACTACAATTGATAAACGATTCTATTATTACATAATATTATATTAATAACAATATTATTACTGTAATGTTTGTTTTTGGTTATTAAAGTGTGTATATAGCAATATATTCTAGAAATGGTCTCTCTTGTCTCGAGTCTCTGTTGTACATCCCCCAAAAGCTCGTTCCACTCTACATTAATTATATTAATTACCGCTTGGCCACTCTTAGAAATTTCGTTGTCTCTTTCGCAAATTTTCTTGTGCTTTCTGGCAACGGTGTTTCTCAGATTTAAATTATTCCTTAATTGGAAAGTGATTTGCATTTCATTGTTACGATTAACTTGACAAATTCCACTTTATTTGCTTGTACTGATATTTGAATTTAGATATATATCGAATTAGATCGAGACAGATCGAGATAGAGCTACCCAGATAAATGTTAGATGGCGCTGTTCGCCAATGCAAATAAACGATCCAAATGCACTGACAGATCGACACGTGCTTCGTATTTCGAGTTACATATTTTAACACATTATGGCATCAGACGAGATGGAAGTGGACGAAGAGAACGAGGAAAAGCCGAAAAATTTTAATGATTTGGAACTAGACGACAGAATTCTAAAGGTAAAATATCACGTATCTTCCTCACTCGCAAAAGAGAGGTTATGTTCCCAACACGTAGATAGCTGCAAATTTAGTGAAAATCACTGTGACACTTTTTAATTTACTCTTTCGTTTTCTAGAATTCACTTTTTACCCGCGATTACATATTTACACGTGGAATAAAATATTTTACAGGCTATTGCAAAGTTAGGTTGGGCGGAGCCTACGTTGATACAAGAGAAAGCAATACCGTTAATGATCGAGGGAAAAGATGTTTTAATCCGAGCTCGTACGGGATCTGGAAAGACAGCTGCGTTTGCTGTACCACTTATTCAAAAGATTTTGTCGCACAAACGAATGCAGAAAAAGCAAGAGATCAAAGGTCTTATCGTAGCTCCAAGTAAAGAGTTATGCAAACAAATACACGACGTTGTGATATGCTTGACAATAAAATGTAGCAGAGAAGTGAGGATTACTGACGTCAGCCCGCAAATAGATCTTAACGCACAGAAACTGTTACTGGCAGAGAAACCTGATATTGTTATCGGTACTCCAAGTAGAATATTGCAACATTTAAAAGCGAACAATATGAAATTGAAAAAGTCTCTTGAAACGTTGATAATCGATGAAGCCGACTTGGTAAGTGGTTCAGATTTAATTACTTGTTTCATACGTGATAATTTTATTTATTTGCATTTCAGATATTTTCATTTGGGTACGAGGATGAAATAAAAAGTTTGCTGAATTATTTGCCTCTCATATACCAAGCAGCATTAGCTTCTGCAACATTATCGGAAAACGTGATAACTCTTAAAAAGATGGTACTTCGTAAGCCAGCAATTTTGAAGTTAGAAGAGCCGCCACTAGCCCCTTTATCACAGTTATCGCATTATAGTCTCGCAGCAGAAGAAAATGATAAAGCTGCTATTTTATATGCTTTGTTTAAATTAAATTTAATTAGGTAAGTCCATGGAATTTAATGGTACATTTCAAGAAACAGTTAATGTAGCCCATTAATAAAAAATTCTTTTAAATTTTCTTTCAGAGGAAAGACTCTTATATTTGTAAATACAGTAGATAGATGTTACAAGTTAAAATTATTTCTAGAACAATTTGGTATACCAACTTGTGTATTAAACTCTGAGCTGCCAGCAGTTTCGAGATGTAGAGCGGTGACACAATTTAATTCTGGAACATATGATATTATAATAGCATCAGATGAAAAATCTTTGGAGGAAGTAAATATTATATATTTATATATATAGTTCATGTATGTGTATAGATCAGTGTAAATTCCCAATTTTTCTATCCCTTACAGCCTCATATAATGAAGATTAAAAGAGGAAAACGGAAGAAGGACAAAGAGTCCGGTGTAGCACGTGGCATTGATTTTCAGTTTGTGTCCAATGTAATTAATTTTGATTTTCCCCAAGATGTGAATTCTTACATTCATAGAGCCGGGCGTACTGCTCGAGGAAAAAATCAAGGAACGGCATTGAGTTTCGTATCAATAAGAGAAAGACCGCTTCTCGAACAAGTGGAAAGCGAATTGAAAAATTGTTACAATCACGATACATTGTTTAAAACGTACAAATTCAAGCTAGAAGAGGTCGAAGGTTTTCGGTATGTTAAATAAAAATCTGTTGTTTTAAATTTATTTCATTTTTGACTTCGTCAATGTTTATTTCCAGATATCGAGCAAAAGATGCCTGGAAAGCGGTAACGAGAATTGCTGTTCGCGAAGCTCGTTTAAAAGAAATCAAACAAGAGATACTCAATTGTGAAAAATTAAAAAGCTATTTCGCAGATAATCCGAAAGATCTACAATCACTGAGGCAAGACAAAGCATTGCATACCATAAAATTACAACCACAGTTGAAAAATGTACCAGAATATATAGTCCCACCAACTTTGAAAAGGCTTGTCGGTATTAACAGAAAGAGGAAGTTTAATAGAGAAGCTGCAGCAACTAAGCCTACTGCTACACAATTAAAGTACCAAGCACGTGCATCAAACCCTCTAATTAGTTTAAAAATAAAAAATTTGAAATAAAAGTTTTATATATTGGTAATAATATGTTTTTTTCTTAAACTTATTTATTTCATGATACTGCTCATTATAAATAACATTTTATAAGATCTTATATATTCGAGTTATAAAAAATTGTGGATGAAAAATTACACGCTATTCAAGTAATTAACACAGAATATTAGAATATTGTAATTGTTAATTTATGATTTTTCTGTAGACTGTTTTGGTTTGTACTTTTTCCTAATACCATCATTGAATCCTTCTCTATTTCTCGCAAGTTCAATGGCATAAAATTGTATTCTAGTTGTAAGTATACTGTTTTCCTCTGAGTAATCTCCTTCGCATTCTGCTCTTAACAATGTACCAAAACTATAATCTTCAACAAGTCCCTTAAACTGTTCACAGAATGGTCTCCATTTCATTTTCCCTTCAGGCGATTTTAATTCATCTTCATTTATTTTATCTACTTTGAGATTGGGGAAAACATCACGAAAGCTTTTATATATTTGTTCATCATGAGGTGTAAGTTTCAAAAATTTAGGATCAACTGAACATAAAATCTAAAATAGAAATTTCAAATTAAAAATCAAACTTTGAATGTTTTTACTTTTTTTTTTTCTTTCATATAGAATTAAGTCAATTGTATTAAAATTTCTTTTACATTAAAATAAACTTCAGCATGCTCCATGGCTTTCATTGCCCACATTGCTTCTACAGAGGGCTAAAAAGAGGGAATTATTATGATTATTACCTTTATAAATTCATTTATTTCTTGTTTTTCATTTGCAACTTACATCATTGTCAAATTCTTCTGCAGGTCTAGATAATACACTAGTACCAGCTATCAATTGATCTGCAGTCTTAAAATTAGAATTGTTCTAAATTAATAAATATATTGATATTAAAATAAACATGTATAAATATAAGGTATACCAATTAGATATTAAAATCTGCAAGTTAACAAATTTTTGTAATCATAAAATAACTTGTGTCTTATCACGTTGTTGACCGATTATGATTCGTGTTTTCACACATGAATGTTAATTAATCAAAATTGCAGTCGTAAAAAATGATTTCAATTCAAAACAAAATTTCTAAACAATCTACAATCAAATTTACGGTAATATTCAGAAGGAAAGATAGACATGGTAGGTTAAGGATCATTTTCATGGAAAAATTTGTAACATCAAGTAAGTTTATCGTACTCACAACATCCCCGATACGAGCCATACCGTAGTGACTAAAAAATATAAATAAATTATCAAATAATCCTCAAAATATTTATAACGAAACTAAACGTTGAAGATCGAAAATCGTAAACATTGTGCACATGTCACGCGGGTAAAATACACGTGCAACGCAACAGAACCAAGAGTGACAAGGGCAGAAAAGCAGGACCATTAACTAAAGATAGAAGAGACTGAACATAAAATGGGACTTCGTGACCTAGAGTCTATAATACCGACCAGGAAAAGTATAACCACAGCACAAACAAGGTATATGAATAGACTATAGAATGATATTTTTTCTGCCTACCATTTTCACATCCTGTCGTACCGATTCAGGCAAATTTTGCACCGCGAAAATCAAAAAAATATGGACAATGTTGACAAATACTTTTCGAGAATTATTTATTGAATTGAACGTGATGGTACTTCATCAATGCAATAAAATTGTAAAATTTTAACTAAATAAGACCTGTGGAAACTGTAAAATTATTGATTACTGTAATAGCAAAAGAATTTTTGGAAATGTTGACAAAAACTACACATTACTGACTTTACCTGAAAGTTGAACAAGGAAAAATATCAGTATAAGTTGAACCTTCATCATGTTCACATCGATTAAACGTCCGAAGTGAATTATTAAATAATATTTCTGAATATTCCAATTGTTTAAACATTATCTAATATTTCCAATAATTTACTTGCAACAATTAAACAATAAATTCTCTTTTATAATATTTCTAAGTGTTATTTAAAATTTACAACAATCTTGAGCAATGCACTTAACAGAAATGACTGAATTATTCAATGAAATAATTAATTCAATTATTTAATCGTAATAAAAAAGTTGCAAAAATAATTCGTCGTGACTCGTGTAATAAATATATAAAACAGCATAATTAAAGATATATACTATAATGAGACCCGTGCGTAGTCACCTCCTCGTGGTGGGTCTTGGTAATTGGTATCGTTTTACAAATATTAATATCTCGGAATATACTATTTCTAAATTAAATCAAATTTCGATTCCTCCGAATATTACTATTTGTAAAACGATATCGAGCGAAGAACTACGCAAACTACAAACAAACAAGTAGTCAATAAGTAAACTATTAGACCTACTAATACTTAAGCAGATTATAAGAAAAATTAGTTGTATAATAACAAGTAAACAATCTATAAAAAATATGAATTTCATTAAAGAATAATTACAGCAATTCAAAAATTCTCGCAACAGATTTTTCGAAAATAAAGAGTATCAGGAGAAAATAAGGCTTGAGGAGATGACACGTCACAACCCTAGAGCCAATTATGCTCCTGATACAACAAAATATCCAAAAGAAGCATTTAGCATGAGTATTCTCAAGATAGGTAAGTATATGAGGCACCAAATTAAGGACTTGAATCAGGAGAACATAACGTTTGAGGAGATGACACGTCACAAAACTAGAACCAGTTGTGGTAAAAAAGGTATAAGCACCGGTAAGTATTTCAACACCGGTAAGTATTTCAGGCAGCAATTTGAGACCTAGAATCAGGAGAAAATGAAGCACGGATGAGTGGCACGCCAAAATCCTGTCTTGAAAATCAGAATGACTTTCAGCATACAATATAAGATATTGTACTAGGAGACCATGATGTCCGAGAAGATAGCACGCCGAAATCCTGTCTTGAAAGAGAGAATGTGTTTATGCATAAAATTTAAAATTTTACATTAGGAGAACATGATGTTGGAGAAGGTGGCACACCAAAATCCTGTCCTCAAATTTAGAATGTCATTATGCATAAAATTTGACATTTTGAATTAGGAGGACATGATGCTGGAGAAGGTGGCATGCCAAAATACTGTCCTCAAATTTAGAATGTCTTTATGCATATAATTTAAGATTTTCTATTAGGAGAACATGATGTTAGAGAAGGTGTCACGTTAAAAACCTGTCCTCAAATTTAGAGTGTCCTTATGCATGAAATTTGAGATTTTGTATTAGGAGAACATGATGCTGGAGAAGGTGGCACAACAAAATCCTCAAATTTAGAATGTCTTTATGCATAAAATTTGAGATTTTGTATTAGAAGAACATGATGCTGGAGCAGGTGGCACACCAAAACCCCGTCCTCAAATTTAGAATGTCTTTATGCATAAAATTTGTGATTTTGTATTAGGAGAGCATGATGTTAGAGAAGGTGCCACGCTAAAATCATGTCCTCAAATTTAGAATGTCTTTATGCATAAAATCTAAGATTTTGTATTAGGAGAACACGATGCTCGAGAAGGTGGCACACCAAAACCCTGTCCTCAAATTTAGAATGTCTGTAAGAATAAAATTTAAGATTTTTTATTAGGAGAACATGATGTCCGAGAAGGTGGCACACTAAAATCCTGTATTCAAATTGAGAATGTCTTTAAGCATAAAATTTAGAATTTTCTATTAGGAGAATATGATGTCCGAGAAGGTGACATGCTAAAATCCTGTCTTCAAATTGAGAATGTCGTTAAGCATAAAATTTAAGATTTTGTATTAGGAGAACATGATGTTGGAGAAGGTGGCACACCAAAATCCTGTCCTCAAATTTAGAATGTCTTTATGCATAAAATTTGACATTTTGAATTAGGAGGACATGATGCTGGAGAAGGTGGCATGCCAAAATACTGTCCTCAAATTTAGAATGTCTTTATGCATATAATTTAAGATTTTCTATTAGGAGAACATGATGTTAGAGAAGGTGTCACGTTAAAAACCTGTCCTCAAATTTAGAGTGTCTTTATGCATGAAATTTGAGATTTTGTATTAGGAGAACATGATGCTGGAGAAGGTGGCACAAGAAAATCCTCAAATTTAGAATGTCTTTATGCATAAAATTTGAGATTTTGTATTAGAAGAACATGATGCTGGAGCAGGTGGCACACCAAAACCCTGTCCTCAAATTTAGAATGTCTTTATGCATAAAATTTGAGATTTTGTATTAGGAGAGCATGATGTTAGAGAAGGTGCCACGCTAAAATCCTGTCTTCAAATTGAGAATGTCGTTAAGCATAAAATTTAAGATTTTGTATTAGGAGAACATGATGCTGGAGAAGGTGGCACACCAAAACCCTGTCCTCAAATTTAGAATGTCTGTAAGAATAAAATTTAAGATTTTTTATTAGGAGAACATGATCTCCGAGAAGGTGGCACACTAAAATCCTGTCTTCAAATTGAGAATGTCTTTAAGCATAAAATTTAGAATTTTGTATTAGGAGAATATGATGTCCGAGAAGGTGGCACGCTAAAATCCTGTCTTCAAATTGAGAATGTCGTTAAGCATAAAATTTAAGATTTTGTATTAGGAGAACACGATGTTGGAGAAGGTGGCACACCAAAATGTTGTCCTCAAATTTAGAATGTCTTTATGCATAAAATTTGACATTTTGAATTAGGAGGACATGATGCTGGAGAAGGTGGCATGCCAAAATACTGTCCTCAAATTTAGAATGTCTTTATGCATATAATTTAAGATTTTTTATTAGGAGAACATGATGTTAGAGAAGATGACACGCTAAAATCCTGTCCTCAAATTTAGAATGTCTTTATGCATAAAATTTAAGATTTTGTATTAGGAGAAGATGCTGTTAGAGAAGGTGTCACGCTAAAAACCTGTCCTCAAATTTAGAATGTCTTTATGCATAAAATTTGAGATTTTGTATTAGGAGAAACGATGCTCGAGAAGGTGGCATGCCAAAATCCTGTCCTCAAATTTAGAATGTCTTTATGCATAAAATTTGAGATTTTGTATTAGGAGAACATGATGCTGGAGAAGGTGGCACAACAAAATCCTCAAATTTAGAATGTCTTTATGCATATAATTTAAGATTTTTTATTAGGAGAACATGATGTTAGAGAAG